TTCTCTGCGAGAGCAGCTTGGGAGGGTGGCAGCATCCCGTGCGGAGCAGTGACCTCCCTTGTCTGTCTGCACATGGAGATGCCGGGCTCTGCCCACCTCGGAGCAGGCGCTGGCATCTCCCACAGGCTGTGCCAGGACGGGCATGGGGATGGGATCGCTCCCCACTTCCACAGCCCCCTCCGGAGCCCCTTGCCCAGAGCTAAGCAGGGCAAACCTCCTTATACACAGGGACACAAAGGCACCCATGTCCCTGCCAGCCTTGAGAGTAATTCTCCTTGTCCTCCTCAACCTCAGCTGTAGAGTGACAAGGTGCCCCTAGCAAAGCCACTGCTGGGGCTTTCAATGGAGCCCCGTGGCTGCCTCCCTCCTCCCAGCTTCCAACATCCTGCGTCCCCATCCCCGCGCGGGGGCCCCTCTCCTCCCCGCCGCGGTCCCAAGCGCAGACCCGGACCCCCCAGCGCCGTGACGCGAGGGCAGAGCGGCCGCAGCCCAGCAGGGCCAGCAGCGGGACTGTTTATTATTCTAAAAGAGGAATTTGGCCGGCGGAGGGGACGGGAGGTCGGCAGGCGCGGAGGCCCCGCGCAAGGACCGGGCGGCTGCGCCCTGCTGGGGCCAGCATGGACACGGGTGGCCTGTCCCTGCTGGGGGACGAAGCCGCCTTGTCCGTCCCTATCTCCTGGCTTTAATCGCCGTGACGGGGACACGGGCGGTGGGAGCTCGTGGCTCCCGCGGCCGCGTTGTGCTCCCAGGAAGGAGGCAGCTCTTGGGTGTCTGGGTTTCCCAGCCTGCTCCGTGCTCATGGAAAGGAAAGTGTTGGGATTCCCGGTCTCGTGACTTTGCAGCTTCTGCAGAGCAGCTCGGTCCTGTTTCTCCTGTCCCCCAACCCCATCGGTGCCTCTGCTTCTCCATCTTCCCTCCCGCACCCGCCTTCCTGCTGCCAGTGATGCCTCCTTGGCTGATGAGCAGGAATTTCTGCAGCAGGGTGGGATGAAGCCAACAATTGGTGATACAACAAATAGCCACATCCCCCTTCCTTCAGGCAGGCCTGATTTCATCAACCATTTCTGCTCCCCATTCCGCAGGGCCTTGCTAAGGTGTCTGAGCTGCCCCAAACCTCTTGTCTAAGGATGCTCCTAAATCAGCAATATCTTTGCTAAACCCAAAATACATTTTGTGGGATTGAATTCTGCAGGGTGACAAGGCAGGGGCTCACTTGGACATTGCTTGGCGTGTCCCACCATGCATCCGAGTCTCCTGCCCTCAGCTCTTGGTCTCAGCCCCGGTGCCCCCAGCTGGGTACCTCTACATGACAAAAAGTCGCTGGCGCCAGCAGCACAGAGCGATGTCCCTTCCAAAGCACCGGCCCACATGGGACGGGTCCCTTTGCAGCTCAACAGAAGCCAGGGGAGCCCTGAACGAACGGAGATCAACGCCGAGGAGCCCCTTCGCATTTACCGCCTACGACTCGAGCATCCATCAATTGCATTTTTTTTGCATCTCCCCAAAACCACTCGAGCCATCAGCAGAGCTGCAGCAACGCAAAGCAGGGAAGCGGCGCCAGGCTCCTCACAGAGCCCCGATCCCTTTCCCTGCCCCTCGCTTTCTATTTTGAGCTCTCCCGGTCCCCCCTCGCCCTCCGCACAGCCCCGGCCGGGCTGCGATTCCCGGCGCTCCCACAATCCTCACCGGCCGCGGGGTCCTGCCAAGCCGGCCAGGGACATCTGGTGCAAATTAGCGGGAAGAAAAATATACTTTATTTCTTCTTTGTCTAAACGCATCTGAGTCATTAAGTGAGATCATGGGTGCCCGCGCGCAGTAAGGAAGCCCCGCACGGATCCTGTGATCGATGCCGCTCTCAGCCAGGGATCGAGGGCTTCTCCCGGCCCGGGGTCCCGCTCACGAAGGCAGGAGCTCCCCGATGGACGGTTGGCAGCCCTGAAACCCAAACCGTGCTCGTCTGGCAGGGAAACGTGCTGGCTGGTCCTGCTTCCCTCTGCCACCCTCCCCCCTGCTTCTGCGACTGCTTCTTTCCCACCCTTTAATCTAAATAAATCTGGGTGTTTTCTTTCTTTCTTTCTTTCTTTCTTTTTTTTTCCTCCTTGGCTGGAAGCGTCCGGAGTTGCAACATCTCTCCTCTGGGGTCCCTCGGCTCCCATGACACCGCCTTTACTCACAGGCCAGATGATCATCACAGAGCCCTTTTTCTTTTTCCCAGCACATGGCTGGAATTAGGCAGCGCGCACACGTGGGGGCTCCCCGTCCCCAGCCCCTAAACAGCTGATGATAAAAGGCAGAGGTAGGAAACGTGAAACCAGGCTGAGCAGCGGAGGGGCTGGGAGCCTCCGCGCTCCAGCAGGACATTCCCTGCCCGGGATGTGCGGCCCCGTCCCCCTGGCGCTGCTGCCCACCAGGGTGAGGGGCTGGTGCTTCGTGCGCCGGTGGGACACTCGGAGCCCACGTGCACTGTGCATGATCCTGGTTCTCTTTTATAACCCCCGTGCAGGTGAGATTTTGCAAACTCTGCTCCTCAGCCCCACTCAGGCAACATCACAGGCACCGTCCCGCGTCCTCCGAGTGGTTTTGCCAGAGCTCCGTGAGCTGCTGGCTGTGAAGAAGCGCTCGAAACCACAACCACATGTCCCCGGTGTGGGCCAGGCCCCGCGGGCGACGCTCCAAGCAGGGGCAGCCGCTGTCCCGGGGCCGCCCGCGCTCAAACCGGCCGTGCCCGCTATCCCAGCGACTTCCCGGCCGGACCCTGCCGCGGGTTTGGGATCGACTGTGGGAGCAGGGCGGCCCTGTGCCCGGACACGGTGCCCTGGCGGAGGCGGATCCTCATCCCGCTCCTGGCCGCATCCCGCCCGCGCTGCGCATCGCCTGCAGACACCTGGAATACACGAGTGCTGGCACCACATTTTCCAAGCCAGAGGAACGGCGTCTCCATCCCTCCTGGCTGCTCCCAGCAGCCGCAGGGAATCTGGAAGGGAGGCAACCCCATGCAGAGCTGTCGCAGGAGCCAGCAAGGTGCAAGTTAGCAAAGTTAGTGCCCTCGTGCTCCCAAGCTCTGCCAGCAAGCCAAAAACCAGGGCTGTGATTCCAGAGTGGGAGGCTGATAGGAAGGATGCTGAGCCCTGAGTGGGTCTGTGCTGGGTGCAGTGGGGCTGCCAGCCGCGTCCTGCTGCGTGAACTCGGCATCGTGTGCGACGAGCGCACGGGGAGCCATGGGACCGAGCAGAGCGCCGCTCTCTCACCCCTAATTCCTCCCCCTTGCCTCCCCTCTTAAGCCCAGGGGAGACAGAGGAAACGAGTGACCTACTGAGTGCAAGCTCAAAATAAAATGAAACATCTGTTTGGAGAGGTGCCAGCGTTATAAATAAACCGCCAGCCCCCAGTGCCGGTATCCATCGCCCCGCCGGCCGCGCATGCTCCCCCGCTTCCGCTTCCAGGAGAAAGGCCAGGCCCCGGGAACGGCGCTCGCTCCCGGGAGCTCGCTGGCTTGGCCGGAGCTGTGGGAAAAACCCTGTACGAGGGGGCCGGGGGCGTTGGGAAGGGCGGCCTCGCCGTCCCGCTCTGCCTGCGGGGATGCCGGGGCTGGCTGCATCCTGCGGAGCATCCGGCCTCCCCGTGCCGCTCGCTGTGCCCAGTGCCATCCCAGCGACTGCACCGGAGCCCCGGGAGTTTCCTCACTTGTGCCGTGATGGCCAAGGAGCCATGACCGGACTTCCCTTATTAATTAGAGGGAAGTGATTAATAAGGGAGGTACCAGGAGGAAAGCAGCCCCCGGCACATCGGTGTCTCCTCTCCTGCCCTGCGCACTGCTGCCACGGGGCACAGGCCGCAGAGGGGCCAAAGGGCCCAGCTGACTCTAATTAACCACTAATCACCCATTGCAAGGGACAGGGAGAGACACTGGAGCCCTCTCCAACTCCTTCCTCCCTGTGCTTCCAGCTTTGCCCTGGAGAGGACGCGGGAGCTTGGCAAAGCCGTGGGATCCGGTGGCGTTTTGGGGCTGCCTGCACCATTCTCGTGTGCGGCAGCAATCTGGTCCTGATTGGAAAAACTTCAGCGGAACGCAGGGCCGAAAGGCGCTGCCAGGGAGGAGGGAAATGATCCGCACGGATGCGTTTGGGCTCCTTTCCTGGGCTGCCTGCAAGGGAGCCGAGCGTAATCGCTTTGCCATGGGGGTTTTGCTCTCGTGGCCAGGATTAGCTGCGGTCAGCAAGGAGCAGGGCAGGGAGCTGGGCGCATTGGGAAAGGGCAGTAAACTGGGACAGGAGGCCGGGAGGGATGTTGGTTTTGGAGATTGGGTCCCATTTTTCCAAAACAACTTGATAATGGGATAAGGAGCCAGGGACATCCAAAGATTTTTGCCTTTTGGATGTATTGTGGTGTGAAAACTGTGGAGCAAAGTGCCCTAGGCTTTGCAGGAGGAATTTGCCTCTCTGCCGGCTCCGAGGGGACCGGAGCTCTCTGCCCCACAGCCATTTGCAAGGAGAATCCTGCAACCAAGGTAGCTTCCCGTTTGCAAGCGCAGAATGCGCTCTCAGAGCGGCGCACTCGAAATGGCTTTTTTTCCCCTGGCCCCAGTTCAGACGAACCCACAAGCAAACATATCTTTTTTGTATAAAAAAGACAGTGTGTCTCGCCAGTTAAAGCAATTCAAACATGAATGTAGCAATTTAATTGGTGCCAATTACCGCGTCTCGGTAGCATTAAGATTTCAGTCACAGCCTCTCCGGCGTGGAAGACGGGCCAGGAAGGGGCAGGCAGAGCGCCCGGCGCGCAGGGCCCAGCAGGATGGGGACCATGTGGAGGGGCAGCCTATCCATGCTGGGGCTGGGGGAGCTCCTTGTCACCCTGTCCCAGCCCCGCTGGGAGCGAAGCCAACCCAGATCCTGTGCATGGGGATGGGGGACCTTTCCTTAGCAGGAGGACGGTGCTCCCGCTCTGTCTGCAGTGCAAAGCCCTGTTTGTGCTGGCGCGCTCCAACCCTGCCCCATTTCTGCTCCTGCCCCTCGCCGCAACCTGCGACCCCTTCGCCCCTCGGGTGTGGATGGCTGGATAGTTGCGAGCCTGGGAGCCCACAAGCCGGCCGCTGCTTGCACAAGGCCCTTTACACTGAGCAAATTCCAGGCCTTTGGCAACAACCTTTCCACAGCCCCTTGCAAAAGGTTCCCTCCCTGTGCAGCCTTTTCCTATAGCCCTTCCTTTTCACCTTAGGGCCCCCAGGTGAGTGGCAGTACAGGGGAAGCAGAGGGGACATAAGCAGGGGCCATGCAGCAGCCTGCAGCCCATGCATCCATCCCGGGCTGTGTAAGTGCCCCATGAGCCACCCTGTGCCACCGTCCTGGGCAGCAGGGCTTGCACTGGAAGCCTGGGGACACCGAGGCCCAGGGTGGGACAGCTGGCACGTCGTGCTGTGCTCGGCCTCCCTATCTAGATCCGCATCCCACGCGTCTCCCGGAGAGCACCGCGGCATCGCCGCCGGGAGCGGAGGAGCCGGAGCGGTGCTGGACTCTGAGAGCCTAATTAGGCACCCAGGGAGGGAAGGGAAACAACCATCCCCAAAACAAGCCTCGTTATGTCCAATTTGCCTGGCAGAGCGGAAGGAGCCTTCTGGAGTGGCTCCAGCCCCATAGGAAACAACAAGCGGTTTATAGGATCCCCTTGCGTTCCCTCGATGGGGGGCTGCTTTCCCGAGGCTTCAGCACTCGGCCCCGCATCCTGCCCCAGGATGCTCCTGCCAGCCTGGACCGCGCTGCCCTGCGCCTTGCGCAGCGCCCGGCTGGCCATGGCCATGGGACACCGGAGCTCCGGCATCAGGAGAGACCTCAGGAGCCCTGGCAGGCCCAGGACACGGCCTGCACAGACCCCCTGACACTGACACCCCAATTGCTCCGTCTCGAGGGTGGCCCTACGGCCGTCCAGCGCAGTCCCCTCTCACATGGCACCGGCCAGGAGCAGTTTCCAAACCCCTGCTTTGCCCAGCTGCCTTGCAGGAGAGTTTCCACACGCCCTGGCAGGGCTGCAGGAGGACTCCGTGCCCTTTTCTGCATAGCAGAGCTCTTCTGAACGTGCTGAACACCCTGTCATAGGGCCACGAACAGCGAGACTGCAGGGGAGACCATCACATCCCCGTTGTGCTCCACACCGCATCCTCCCGAGCCAGATGCTGCCCAACCGGGCTGGGAAACCATCAGCGCTGATGGCTCTGGGGCTCCTTGTCTTTAACCCTGCACAACTTTTCCCTAAAAGAGAACTTTTCTTCTCTGCAGTGCCCTTTCATGTGCTCCAGGACGGCATGCCTGGTCTCCCCAGTGCCCGGTGACTCCTCTGCCCTGTGGACCCTGCTTCCAGCCCCCTGGTACCCTTTTCTGCCCATGCCACCATGCTGCATTGCCCAAACCTTCCCGGTTTGGACACATCTTTGCTGGAGCTCCAGCGGCTGGTCCCACATTGCTCCTCCATGAGGCAGGTACCTCCCGACACCATGCACGGACTTTTAGAGCTTCCTTCCAAAACACAGCATGTTGTCCCAGCTCTTTTTGCCTTCTTGATGCCAGGCTCCCTCCGTGAGCTCATGGGGATCATCTGGAGCTCTCCTCCACCAGCCAACACTGCATAAAACCAAGCCCAGGACGGACCCTGTGGACCCCACATTTGACAACAAGCCCTTGCTAAGCCCCTCGGCTGCAGTGCAGCAATGGGTTGTGCCTCCGCCGTCCTGCTGTTTGGGCCATGCTTCCCTTGCAGAACACCGGTAGGGCCAGGGACAGGTATCGAGGTGGCTACGGCCTCAGCTCCATCCTTCTGAGCTGGAAGGAGGGTTTTAAGGGAAGGAAAAATTGCATGCTGCACATGGCTTGCTGTGGCTTTTCCCGAACACCAACCCCTCTTGATGCACTGACCACCTCGGAGGTGCTTCCTGGCCTGGGGATACTGTCCCAGGGCAGGGGTGGCAGCACGGGCCACCAGCCACCCATGCCAGGGTAGCAGCATCATCAAGGAGCAGCTTTGAGCTCCCATCAGAAGTGTTTCCAGGGAAGGTACCAGCCCTGGTTGCTCCATCACCAAAACATGCCTGGCGTGTTCCTTGTGCCACACAGAGCCATACCCTGAAAGGCAATGTGTCACTGTCCCGGAGCATGGGATGCACAGTGCAGCCGGAGGGAGGACACGGCTGGGGGAGATTTTCTTAGCCCTCATCATGTAGGGAGGAACATCCTAAAGATTAGAGCTTGCCAAGACCCCGCCAACGGGGTTTGCATGGCGAGCCCTGCCACCGGCCTTCCAGCAGCTGCTGCCTTCGCTGCCTGCCAGATGCTGGAGCAGAAGCCCCAGCTGCTCTGGGACAGCAACGGGGTGACACGATGTCCCCTGCACCCCGAGTGCTGCTTTGAAACCCTCCTGCTGCCAAGGGAGCCCCACACACAGCCTCCTGCCCCCCAAAACCCCCTGTGCAAGTGCCAGGGTTGCAGACATCTATCTCCAAGGCCAGCCTGGCCC